CTTTATCTAGCAAACTCGTTGAAAGCCGCCGCCGTTCGTGAATGTAAATTTATTCTCCGTGCGTAACACTGTTGCGTTTTGCCCCTAAGGATATAGCGCAAGTACGGCGGAATCTCGTTTATGTTGGACACACTACAATGTCCAGCTGCTGAATGAAACGTAATACTATTCTAAAATTGTGTTATTCCTTATCATAAAATTTTTACAGCAAAATACAAGATATAAGCGATTGATATATTATTGATATTTAACAAAATAAATTATTCTTAGAAATTAAATTAAACGAATTGGGAAATAATTTTACGTATAACTCACAAAACATAAAGTGTGATGTTGTATTGTTAGCATATCTTGAATAGGATTTCTGCTAATCAGAAACTAAGACATATAAATCTTAATATTAATCTTATTATATCTTTTAATACGTAGAAAATTTATTAAACTTTCGTTATGTATGGTATCCGCTGTAATAAACTCGCCGTACAGAGACAGCAGACATGAACGCATAAAAGGACATGCACATCTATCAAGTACCAGCAGTATCCCGAGCTTAAACGAGCCCTAGAAGCGCGCATAATTTAGTTGCACCGATATGCATTCATTCGCGAGACACACGCTACTTCTCATGGCGAAACAACGAGCCTGTTCAGGATCACCATCTAGGGATGAACGGCGGAGCAATGTAGCTCTCTCGAGCTCTGGCGGTCACCAAAACCTGTCCAACACTCCGAGTGACTTCGACATTTTTCACGGATCGTCCTCGATAGCGACCCACGCGCCCGAGCTACGTCCAGTTCTCGAAGTGGACCTTTTCCAAGGTCAGTGACGTGTGGGCCGCTAGAGAGAGCACTGACGAAGTGCACTTTGTTGCGAAAACACTTACGAACGTCGCGCATGTCGCGTGACGTTTTGACATCGCGACGCGAATGCAATCTCCGGCTTGCGGCAAGAATTTTCGCGTTGAACGACCATTTCGTAAAAATTGCGTCATTTCATACAGTCAACTTAACGGTCAATGAATTCTATGCGGTGACATGGCGACATATCCTCTTGAAAATTGATATATGTTAAAAACGTTAAGAAAAATTTATGAAATGTTGTACATTATGTGTAATATTTCAAACTTTTAATTATTTATTTAACATATTAGTAATTAAAAGATAAATTAGATTTCCACTTAAGTTGAATTAAAATTAAAATTAGTTCAAAAAAATATTAGTGAAATGACAAAATTTATAATATATTTTATGTGTATTTGCTCCTCTAATTAAATTATAAACTAAAATATTTTAAAGTTATTCTCCACATTTTTATTGTAAGAAATAAAAATTGTAAATTTTACTAATAAATAATTTTATCAATTAATTTATATTTACATGAATACAGAAATTAGTTATTAATTTGTTAATATCTAAATACTTTAAGTATAAATAATAAAAATAAAAAGAGATTAATCTTTTGCAAAAAATTAAGTAATTTTCTGTTATTTATAGCTGTCTATATATTTTTGTTCTTAGATCATTTATTTATATAGATAAAATTATTTTTTAAGCGATAACTTTTGCTGGGAAAATCTTCAATTTTCTTTAAATATTTGGAGATAAACAACGCGTATTATAAATAAAGAGGAAACATATATTTATGATAAGAAATTTGGAAGCGAGAGAATTAAAAGTGATTGGAATCAACTCCTTGACACGTTGGCTAAACCAACTGTTACGCTAACGTGGTTTCCTAAAGTGTATTTATGCGATTATGCAAATCCGCGACACGCGTGGTGAGGTCCGGCTGCGCTAATGTGCGTGTTCTCGGTTATTGATTAAATTATGATCTGGATCGTTCAGCGTGCGAATTGCAAGGTTCGCAACCAGGACTAGGAGAGGCGTTAATTAAATCGAACGCAGCTCAGATTCGCGCGGACGCGCGGAGTGGAGTGTACGACGGCATCCGTCAGACGCGATGCGCGACGCGCTCTGTATAAAGCGTCGCTCTCGATATTAATGATGGCAATGCATGGCTGGTAATGAACACATGCGCGACCTATCCCGCCCACGTGCGAAAGCGGCAACGGATTTTCCGAATGGCTCCGCGCCGTAACGCGCGGACGTAACGCTGCTCTCTCGCGCGGATTTGCATGGCGAAACCGACTATCCGTCTGCCCGATGAAGATTCATTAATCCGTGCTGAAAAAGCAAATTAAAATAGACTGCATTGTAGGTACATAACTATCACTCAAAAGTATTTGCCCGTCCCAATTTTTGTACTTTCTTATAATACACCTGAATTCCTTTTAATTCTATTGTATTCCTCTGTATATATATAGAATTAAATTATTAAGTCTAACACACGCACACACACACATCTAGAAGAGCAGGAAAGAAAATAGAAATTCACTCCTTCATTTAATTAAGAAAGCTAGAATGAGCAAATACTTTTGCACGGTAATGTATGTGTATTGAATCACGTATTTTTTTTCATTATGACTGTCACTGAGAAACCCATTTAGTTAAATCAATCAAAGATTTGTTTGCCCACATCCAAACAAGAAATTAATTAATGCAATAAAATAATTCAGTTGAAGCAAAGCATTTGGTTATTGTAACATTTTGCTTGTTTCTGATAAACATTGACATCTGATAAAGTTATTTACAATAATCAAATGTTTGGCTTTAACTAAATTATTTGATTGCATCAACCAAGGATTTGTTTGCCCATATCCAAACAAGAAATTAACTGATTCAGCTAAATGGGTTCTCTCAGTGTATATTTTATTAAATACTGAAAATACTCTCTCTCTCTTTTAGTTTAAAGAATTTATGAAAATTATATTAGAAAAGCTGATATTATACAGAAAAATATAGAAAAATATGTTTTTTTGAAATCATCAAAAACAGTCATGGAATATCAACCAAATAAAACTATCCACTGACGTCTGCTATTAGTCTACGAATTATGCGCGGAATCATACATTTTCTTCTTAGCATCTGTTGATCCGCAGCGTAAGAGTCGATCATTGCGGGTGATATCACCATAAGGCATTCAAGTTCATTAAGTATCATTCAAGAACGATCCTATTATGCGTCTGCCTTCGGTACGTATGCGCAATTTCTTTTTCGCGGTGTGCAATTCGACCGATTCATGTTTTATGTTGGGGGGATTACATTCATAACATTTTGTTATTTACACTCGATATTTTACGAATTTTGATTCTCGGAAAGTCGGAATAAAGCGCGGTGGAAGAAATCAACGTTAGATGGGCACATTACTATGATGAAAACATACAGCGCTAATCAAAAAGGATAAAAAAATTTAAGATACGAAGCTCAAATATCTGTATTTAATCTATATAATTTGTAATTCTTTTAATGATGCGGCGCGACTCGTCTAATGTTGCACTATTGTTTAAAAAAAAACAAAAATAAGCAAAGTTTAAAAAATATTTGTATGTATATATATATATATATTTTCATATCCTTGTTTATATTAGAGAAATTAAAGAAAGAGTTATATTTACTTTACGGTTATCTTCAGTTAGTAATTCTATGTTACTTACTGTAGGATTACATTTATCTGTGTTATATATTCTGTTTTACATTATGTTGATAATTCTAATAATTTCTCTACGAACAATATAATAATGATACTAGCTATATAGATACATAAGAAATAAATTTTAAGCAAAACTTAATTTTTAGTAAAAATTTTTAACAAGCTTTCAAATTAAATAATGAAGATTGATCCATAAATAATTATTATTCTTAGCAGTAGCAAATTATGTTAATTAATATATTACAATGTAAGTAAATATAAATACCCATTTAATATTCAATACTTCTTTTCTCTTTTAATACTTATTTTATACAAAAACGAAATTTTCTTTTATATTTTACCAAGTCGTATCCATGGCAGAATTATCATCGGAGCACCTGTGTAACTATCGGTACATTCAGTGAGTACTGAAATACCGGACGCTGATTAAATAATTGCCATTGCAAAAAATTTAAAGTTATTATATAAAATCAATATCAAATGTTCATTAAATAAATATTACATAAATAGATACAATCAATGCATTTTGATAAAATATCGAGAAATTATATTTTCATAAAAAGGTAAAATCATGAATAATAAATGTAAACATTTTAAAGATAAAATTATGAATAATAAATATAAACACACATTTTTAATTTATTATTATTATTCATTCATTGTGATTTATCAGCATTGTTTGAGATGACAATTAATCCTGATTTTGATAAAACAAATTTTTGTCATAAAAGAATTAAAATAAAATAAATCTATTTTAATTTTTTAAGACTATGTAATTAACTTTAAGAGAGAGAGAGAGAGAGAGAGAGAGAGAGAGAGAGATTATGTAATTAAAATTATATGGTGAGCGCTATCAGCGCTATTGTCATTTTATACTTAAATTGATTTATGTCTAAAGGCGCCTCCAGACGATATGACAAACGTTTATCACCATAAGCAAATGTCATACATACACATGCATGACATATGTAATTATTCACACTGAATGTAGATCAATATTTAGCGAATGTGTGCGAAGTTGGCATATAGATTGGCCGTGGCGTCTGGAAGTGTCTTAATGAATGATAGAATGACATATAATACCAAACATAGGAATTCTAACTGAACAGCGCTGACAGCTCTCTGAACTATTACCTTTAACTAATGTAACAACATACAATCGCACCAAACAACAAACTTCATGAAGAACGAGTTCGCTCTTGTAACATGAAAATATTTGAAATGTCCATGTTAGAATTTAATGACTAAAATTTAAAGAATCAAAATAAACATTAGAGATATCAAAAACAAATTAATCTGGGCTAATGAGAGTCAACACGGAATAAAATTTTATTGCGCATTTCCTTCCGCGTTGACTCTCATTAGCCCAGATTAATTTGTTTTTATCATTTTAAAGAGAGAGAGAGAATCCTTGGTTAACACATTTACCATTAGAGATAGCATGTGTACATTACTAAGCATTTAAAAAATGGATATTAAAAATATCAAAGATAAAAATACTCGATCTTCTAGAAGGAATTATTATTCAGATATTATGTTAGGTAAGATTTCACTAGTATTCTGCCAATTATATCATACTTAATTGAGATCAAGGCATACTTGATCATAGAGCGTACTAATTATATTAAATAATTCACACAGGTATAAAACCAGTTGGCCTACCTTCTGCTTCAAGAAGAACCAACCTTGCATCGCAAATTCTCACGGAACAGTACAGTCCGATTGTAGAAGGTCTTAAAGTACAAAGAACGCAAATTTTTCTTGGCGCTGCTGAGCGATGGATAACTTTCCCTGAAGACAAATCTATTGTACGCAAGTACATAATCATGTAAAAGCAATTGCTTGATTTATCAAGCTAAAATATCAAAGATTTGTTACTTTAGCAATAATATTTCTTATATTGTTAAATTAACATTTTATGGAATTATTAATCTCTTAGTACGATATGAAGGGATGTATTAATTTTAAATTGACTATGTTTTATAGAAAGAAATATATACATAAAGTTGGAAATATTTTCCAATCTATGCTGTGAAAGATCTATAGTTATATTTCTATTCCTACCATTTCCTTCTAATATTTTATATCTATCTTTGTATCTAATTTAATGGATGTATATAAATTCTTAGTGCAAGATTTTGTTTTCAATAAAAAGTATACCTATAAATATTTAAAAATTTCAAAAATTTTTGTTTCTTTCTGAATAAAGGCATTTCCGGCGGAAACTTTTTTACCAAAAGTACAGATGGCATATACTGACGATTCAAAGATTCCACCACATAATATCGAAATGGAAAGAAAACGAAAAATATATAAAAATCTTAAGATAGAAGATGCTTTGAAAGCGGAGAATATCAAGCCATATGACATATTACCTTTTGAAAAAATTTGCCCACTACTTTCCGACAAAGAGAAATACAGTTTATACTCTAAGACAAGTTATTTACCATTGGAATTGTTTGATGACGAAGAATACGATTGTAGGTGAGAAATTCGTTATTCTACAATAACTTAATTGCTCGTCATATATATTGCTATTTTTAAAGTATTTAAATATTACTTGTCAGTTATCTCATTTCTAATTTCTAGAGGAAGGTCGTCAATATTGTCATTTTGTTTTTGATAAAAAATGACAGTCTTCTCTTATCTGTATAATCTCTTTTCTTATTTTATCTTTTATCTCTTATAATTATTATCGTATCCTATAATTCTCTTATCTATATAATTATTTAATTGTTGGCTCTTCTAAGTAAAAAATAATAACTTATATAGTAAGAAAAAGATTTTTTCGCATATTATGTGAAATACATTACAGTAGAGAATAGCACAAAAGAAGCTTGTAGTATAAACATAATTTCACGTATTTGATACTTACCTATGATAATAAATTCGTAGTAGTTTTATACTAGAGAGAACAAAATATAATATATTATAACAAATATTAAGGTAACTGACGACTCGAGTACCATGTCAAGTGGAGCTTTCGCTTTATAGAAGCACCATCAAAACTTTGTAAAGCAGAGATAATTTATGCTTATTAAAATTTAAATTAAAATGTAAAAATAAAAGATTTAAATTTATGTGTTTAAAATTTATATAAATTCGAACTTACTTAAAATAAATATCTGTTTGTTTTACATAATTTTGTTTAAAAATTAAGATATCTCTTTCTATAAGTGATATATATTTTACAATCAATTTATACATTTCTTAAAAAATATCTTTTGCTAATATAATATAATATATATAGTGTTTCCACAATTTTAACATATAATTTTCTTTTATTTTGCAATTTAACAGAACGACAGAAGAATGGATAAATTTGGGCATCATTGATGGTATTCGTTATCCGTTACCAGCCACAGTATTTGTCGAAAGGATTATAGATAAGAAAAAGATATTTGATCGCTATAACATACTCAATAATTTGTACGGTTGGTTTCATGCCGCCGTTACGGATTATAATAACGAACAGAAATTGTGGACTGTCCTCACTCTAGACGGTCTTAAGCGAAAATTCCTTCTGCCTAGAATATATATTCGATTTTTTGGAGAGGATCCTAGAAAATTTGCCAAGAGAGTGGCTGCTGCTGTTAAACAAAGACAAATTGCGGAGACTAGTATCAGGTTAATTTATTAAGTTAAAATATTTCGTATTTTAATATTTTTGTATTATGTCTTACTTATAATAATAATTTAAAAAGACACAAATATAAGGCGCGTTGTATAACTAAAAAGAAATTTCAATAAAATTAGTGTCCGTTTCTTATATTTCAACATTTCATAAAAGTATTGGTTTAATATGGTAACGCTACACATTGTTATACAACTTTTAAAATATCTATTTCACGTAACAAAAGTGGAATATGAATTTACCAACACATTCAAAGTTTACATTTTCTTAAAAGCGATCTGAGAAAAAATTTAGAACATCATGCACAAAAATAGATGATAAATTCCGGATTTCTTATATTCTTTAATGATTTTAACAAGAAGGATTTGTGTGATTTGAATATTTTTTGCAATAATTATATGTAGATACCACTTTTATTTGGACTGCATGCTAGTAGAAGGTATACCGACACTGGATGAAAAACAACAGGAAGTTATAATTCTGTTAACCACGCGAAAAGATTTCGTGAAGTCTGAATCCAAACATCTTTTCAACGTAGGTACATTTCCTATTTATTTTCTTCAGATAGTGATTTTTTAATATTTAGTTGATAGACGAAGTTGTTTTGGAATATCGTCGCGTCATGTGCGATCTTATGTGGAGATCCCTTATATGGGAACAACCGGAAATGTTTAATTTCATTTCATGGAACGAAATTAATGACATTCACGAACTTAAAATACCAGAAATGGGAAAGTTTGGCACTGAAATGGAAGACTTTACGGTATTTACAAAGAATTACACATAATACTTGGGTTTGATCCTTTATGAAAAAATACTACTGGACTCGCAATATAACGGTTGGAAATAATTGAAAAGCCATCATCGAATATTGTATACTATTCGTTTCAATAGTTTTTTCACTGATCCGTTAATATTTTTTCACAAGAGACATGCATTTTACTCAAAAAATATTATTACGATTTATTGCAGAAAACAAAAAATTTTTTCTGCTGGACAATTTTGTACGTTTTGCCGGAAATATACGAAGCTATGAGTTGTGTAATCGTCGAATGCAGTAACATATTGAATATGAATCTCTTTGTCTCGAATTACGGAAAGTCTATGTACCTGTTAGAGTTTGAGTCGCAGCAGCAGCAAGAGACTAATACAGTGATAAAGTATCTGAAAGAAATGTGGTTGGAAAGGATTATACAGTCGGTTAGATTATGTTTAAGAGATATCGGAAAAGAATGGTTCGATCTTGAGCAGAAGAACCATGATGAATACAATATGATGAAATTGAAACGATTTATGACTCTTATTACATATCGAATGCAGGTATACCTTAAAATATTTGATTGCACTTAATACGTTTTACTTTTAATGTGTATAATAAAATATGTGCTTGAATTACATGTTTATTTAAAGTTATAATATAGGAATATTAATATAAAAGTATCAGTATAGAAATATTAAAATCTAATTACGTTATAATCAATTAAATAAAAATATAGATTTTTAAAATAGAGATTCAGAAATTGTTTATCTAAAAAGGTAAAGAAAAAAATATTTATTGTAAAAATTTATTAGAAAATACAAAAGCCAATTCAAGCTCGTATTAAAAATTATAAACAGGATTACAATTAAGTAAACATAAATTTAAATAAATATTGTTATACAATATTATTGTTTAGTTTACAAATTATATTGAATATGATGTATGTTTATGACTTATCTGCAATTCATTGAATATAATCTCTTATAATCCGTAAAGATTCATTTTCTAAATACAATTTGACATTGACCATATTATATATTTTATTTGTTGCTGCAGGATGCGCTTCGGGATCTCGTGAAGAAATCGATGGCCTTATACTTAGAAATTTTGGAAACTCCAGCTCTTTGTACATTAAATGTGGATGAAAATTTTGTGTGGGGTAATGATCTAATAAACACACACTTTAAATCTTCAGTGAATCCTATCTTTATTATTGATATCGCTATGAATGACAAAACTGCTTATTATTTAACGGATCTTGAATCATTTGTGGTATGCACAAACATACGGTTATTTTCTTACGTTTATTTATAAACTATCTAATTATAAATCACTTATTTATTTAATTAAAGATTCTTTATTTAATTTATTTAATTAAAGATTCTTTATTTAATTAAAGATTTAATCAAAGATTATTTGTATCAAAGAATGTTAAAAATGTAACGTACACACATTCAAGTTATATTTATTGTTAATTTTATTAATCCATTAGGTTAATTGATTTTACTATAAATTGTACATCTAATTGTAAGCATTAAAATATTTAATAAATTAGTTTATTTCAGGAAATTATTATAGCTATATTAGACAATTCTTTGAGGCAGTGCCAACAAATTGGAAAAGTTCATCCTTTCTTGTTACCTTTCCTGAAATTTCCCAAAGATCTGTATCTCAGCTCGGTCGACTTATTAGAGAAACAGGTTTGTGAAGTTCGAGAACGCCTGAGGACCGCTTATCAGAAGTCTACAATACCTCTAAAGGCATACGTGAAGGAATATCAGCAATATTTAGAATTTTACAAACTGGATGTCGAAAAATATGTGGAGTGAGCTCAGATTGCTTTAGGCGATATCAGATAACTATACTTAATTGGATTTTTGAATTATATAGAAGGCAACGTGATTAATTAACAAAGCCGAAAAATATCAATTATCTTTTTAATCGTCACTTTTTCCAGGAATTTCAAAAAAGCAGACCACACTATTGTGGAGATCAGAGATGAAGTATCGTTCCACTTTAAGATGAAATCGATCCTCGAGCTCGCACTTCCAAAGGATATTGCCATAGGACCTTTCTACGTGAATGTCCGTCCTCTCAGGGACTTTCTTATACAGAAACGACAGAACTGTTACACGCAGTTACTTATTATGTTTACCGAGAGCTTAAGAACGAAGATAGATGTCGTTTTGTCTGATTACGTGCAGATTAGAACAAGGCTAAGGACAACACTACGCAATATTGAACATTTGTTCGAAGAACAGGATTGGATAGAAACTGTACCGCTGAGAGTGAAAAAACTGGATGAAATCGTACAAAAATTGAAATTTCAATACGACATTCTTGATCACTTCTGGTGGAATCTATCTGATGGAGACTTTGAAATCAAATGGCAAGCTATCGGTTTTCCGCGACAAGTGCAGCTATATGTAAGATTTGCTTTGTATAAAGACATATCAATATACAGGGTATCTCAATAATCAGGATATTACTACCTTAAATATCTTTATATCTATTAAGTTTAAAAAAAAATCTGTTCAACCAAAATTGTACGGTATAAAGAGGACTACCATATAGTGAAATTTTTATCCAGTTTCGCTTCAAAGATTTCAAGATTAACTTTGTTTTTCTCTTTTAATGAAATTATGATTCTTTTTTTAATATAATATAATTTTTCTAATTATTCTGCATATAAAAAAGTGTTAAGGTAAAGATACCTAAAAATAATTTACCAAATATTTTGTACTTTATTCTGACACATATTAACATAAAATATTAAATAAATATTTTGTAAGTTATTAATTTTTTAATAATAATACCTTAATAACTTTTATGAACAGAATAATGAAATAAATATAGAAGAATTTTTTAGATTTTTATAGTCCAATAATAAAGATCTACTGTGAATCTCAATAACCCAGATTACAAATTATGATTGAAAATTTCATATTGCCGGGGGAATGTTAATAATAAGAAAAGATATTTGAAACTGATAAATTGAAGTTCTAATAAATGTTTATATTATATTTTATAATAAACATTTAATAAATGTGTAAATAGTTAACTTTACAGTTATATAGTAATTTAAAAAGCCATTCTATTATATATATATTTCTTAAAGAAGAGATAGCAATATATTACTTTAATTAAATTATTATATTTATCATTTTTAATATTTTGTCATTTTTTTCTCACATTATGTACAGATGGAAGAAGCAAAGAATCGCTTTGTCAGTGAATATGAAAAATTTCATAAAGTACAAGTACAAGAAGAAATTCTTTTATCAGAAAGGATTGACACACTCATGGGAAACGTTATAAATGTGACACTACAAACAGATATCAAGAAAATACATGAAATGGCTGTAGAAGTAAAAAGGATTTTAAAAATAATGAAAGAATGTCAAGAATTTGGCTTATTGTTGAATGAACGGCAAAAATTATTCGGTATGGATGTTGTGCCGTATGAACAATTAAATACATTAATAAAGGAATTCGAACCATACCAAACCTTATGGATTGCTGCATCCAGTAACTAATATTGTATAAAAATATAAAAAATGTTTAATTTTAAATTAACAATTTTAATAATTTAATATGTCAAATTAAAATTTTTATATACTGTTAAACGCAGATTGGTTAAAATGGCAGGAAATATGGATGGAAAATCCTCTGGTAAGTTTCGATGCGAATCAAATCGAAAATATGACTGCCGATACGCACAAAGCGATATCGCGTTGCGTAAAAGTATTTCAAGAAAATCCAAGTAGGTTGATATGTTGCTTAAAATTTATTGAATTTTAAATGTATTATATGGAAGTCGCAAAAAACTTGAATACGACATAGAAAAAAAAAATTATTAATGTTTTTTTCATGGATTATAGAGATGATTGCTATAGCAGTCACGGTAAAGAATCAAATCGAAGCATTTAAACCATACATCAGCGTGATACAAGCTTTGCGATGTCCAGGAATGAAAAATCGGCACTTTGAAGAACTTAATAAAAAAATTGGTATACAAATGGCACTCACGCCAACTTTATCTTTTAAGAATCTACTTATTCTTAATGTAATGAAACACAAGGAAACTGTGAAGACCGTCGCAGACACGGCATTAAAAGAATTTTTAATAGAAAGTACACTAGATAAAATGATGACTGACTGGAAAACAATTACAATGGATGTTCTTCCTTACAAAGATACAGGTACGCAAAACATTTCATATAAACATTCAAGTTTATTTCAAACAACTTCATACATTAAATATTACGTTTTATGTTTATTATATCTTTTACAAATTAGAAATATGATTTTAATGCAATAAATTATAAAAAAGTATATTTTAGAAATTAAAAATTTAACATCACAATACTTTTGTCATTTGGTATTTTAATAAAGATGGAATTAATTAAATTAAAAAATAAATATCAAAATATTTTACATTAGAATATCTTCTTTATGTATTTAGTGTTAAAATTAACATGTACATAATTTGATACATTAGACTCTTTGTAATATAAATAATATATTAATTTTTTTGTTTGTGTCATATCGTAATAGTATCTTAATCTTTTTGTATAGATAAATATATCATGAAAATTTCCGATGAGATCATTACTTTCTTGGACGATGATTTACTTAAAACTCAACATCTTAGTTTTAATCCTTTTAAAGCTGTTTTCGAGAACCAAATCGATGAGTGGGAAACTAAATTGAGATTAGTTCAGGAAGTGATCGTTCTATGGGTGGAAGTACAAAAGTAAAACACTCGCACTTCGATTTCCGTTTGTTATTATATTAGGATATATTCCCTTTGATTTTGTATACACAGGCAATGGATGTATTTAGAACCAATATTTGCATTTGAAGATATTAGTCAACAGTTACCTGTAGAATCGCGTAAATTTAATACGATGGAGCGCAACTTAGAGCGAATTATGGGAAATGCTCGTGATTGCCCATATGTATGTAATATAAATTTATTTTAATATTTTACACGCATTTATTGTTTTGTAAACGTGTTAGAGTATCAATAATTTTAAATAAAATATCAATTTATCTTATATCAAAAAAGTACGTATTGAACCAGTATAATATTTAATTAGTCTTTTTAATCTATTAGATTGTCAACTTTAATTTAATGTGCAAAGCGCACGCACGTGTAATTAAATTTCTTTTAAATTTTCTAATTTGTTTACCAATGTAAATGTATTCTTGAAATATACATTGTTTTTTTTAAACATGAAAAATGGACAAATAATTTTCACATATTGTTTATTTTATTCTCCATTGTTTAGTTTTCTAAAATGATGTTATATTTTTAAAATATACTTGCATTGGCTAACAAATTTAGCTACTTTTAGTTTTTTAAATGCAATACGATATTTGTCGTTTAGAATGTTTTATTATGTAAAACTTGAATATTAAAGAAAAAAGAGAGAAAGAGAGAGAAAAAGAGGGAAAACAGATATTTTATAATAGATGTAGATAATAAATATATAGTATAATATATATAAAAAAATATATAGATAATAAATATTTAATAAACAAATAATTTGAAGGGCTACGAGTCAGATAAAAACAAAGAAAGTATATTTTCGACGCCGATTTAACGTTTCGACGCCGATCGAGTCATTCTCAATGTTAACAAAAGTTTAAATATTAGAATATTACAAACTGCAAATTATATAAGATTCTATAACTTATAATACGTGTATAAAGTGATGTGAATACAATATTTGCTGAAATGCTTGCAAAGACCTAGTTATTCTTGTTAGTCCTTCAATATAATCCAAAACTCAATTAATAATGGCATTTTGCTCGTGTTCTTGTAAACGTTGTCCTTTCTTATAAAAATGTTAAATCCAAAGTTAAAAATTTCATAGTAGTCGTGAAAAGTCTTCGAAGCATTACAGCAGTGCAGAAGTTAACATAAAAAGATTTTTATAAGTAAAAAGTTAAATCTCATTACAAGGAGAAATTAACAATCGCTTATAGACTTCCATCTTAGATTGGAGCAAATTGCAATAAAAAAAAGATATGTTTAAACTTTGTTTCGCCTCACTCGAGACAGACGTGCTTCAGACGAAGTACAGTAACAAAAGCGGTACTTGAGAATGACTCGATCGGCGTCGAAACGTTTGTTTGTCTGTTGTAATTTTATATTTATAATTTTTTTAAATATACTTTCTTTGTTTTTATCTGGCTCGTAGCCCTTAAATATTTAAATGAATATTTAAATGAAAATTTTCTTAGAAACTTTATTATACATAATGCAGGTAATTATAACGTGTGCGGATAAAATCTTATTATCAACTTTGAAAGAATGTCTCTTAATCCTAGAAACTATTAAGAAAGATTTGTCCGATTATTTGGAGACTAAACGAATGATTTTTCCGCGCTTCTTCTTCCTAAGCAATGATGAACTTCTGGAAATAATTGTTCAGTCCAAGGACATTCAAGCGATCCAACCATATTTAAAGAAATGTTTTGAAAACATGGAGGAATTGAGATTTGAGAATTCAGATCTTAGGATAACGAGGATGTATTCTGCTGAATACGAAGAGGTTGTGCTACGGCCAACAATTTATCCCAAAGGAAATGTGGAGAATTGGCTAGGACAAGTTGAGAATGCGATGCGCAATACCCTACGAGAGATCATCGGCGAGGCCCTCGAAATAATAGACACGACACCGCGAAAGGAATGGGTGTACATGTGGCCGGGCCAAGTAGTTCTTTGTGGAGGTCAAACACATTGGACTGCCCACGTGGAGGAAAGTATCGCAAACAACACTCTGCCTGACTATTATAATTACATGTTGCTACACGTATGTATTATACTAACAAGCACTGTTTATCTTATAACATCGTTATGTTATAAGATAAACAGTGCTTGCGTGTTTACAGTAAACCGCTAATATTTTCATCCAAATTGAACAAATGTTTGCTAGCATTATATTTTCTTCTACTTCAATTTCGAGAACATTAAAACGTGTTGCATTTTAAAATTAATTGTATTAAAAAGCGTACCTTTTTCTTGTTTTTTCATTCTTACTTATATTTCTTATACTTGCATTATTTTATTTAAAAGTCATTAAGTAAATGCATCTCTCAACAACCTCTCTAATATAGTGATATTTTCTTATGCGAAAAATTCAACAGTTACTCAAAGTAAAGGGTCAACTCGATTTTTTGAAACTTTATACTGTTCATAATATTAATGAGCACAAGTTTAATGAGCGTTAAATCGAAAACTTCTTTTCTTGAGAAAATAAAAAGATAGTTGCGTACACATGTTCATTTACTGTTCATTAAAAATAGTTCAATTATTGTTTTTTCTCATTTTCTAATAAGTAAAGAATGACTGGCCCATAACAGTATATTCTTGAGTAATATTTTATAGCTTGAAGAATTGCAAAAGTTAATACGCGGTCCGCAAACTGAAGTACAAAGATTAATGCTGGAGGCCGTAATGACAATTGAAATTCACGCCAAGGATGTTTTGTATAAATTGATTCAAGAGAGATTAATCGATATCAACGGATTCGAGTGGATCTCTCAATTACGATATTATTGGGTTGATAACAAGGATTTGAAGATTCATGCGATAAATGCTGAATTTCCATACGAGTAGGTTTATATATATGATAAATGTTACCAAAACTATCGAAGAAAGAGATACAACTGTTAATAAATTTTAAAATGATTTTGACAAAAAAAAGTTAAATATAATTAAAGATTTCAATAGAATAATAGTTTTTAAGAGAGATAATTTATAAGTTTAAATATATTAACTTTCTTATTGAATTTTATAGAAGTATTGTAATAATGTGTAATATATTCAATTATTGCACTAAAACAAGTACGTAGCTAACAAAATAACAAAGTTTGTAAATAGATTAAAACTTACGCGCTTTTGTCCGAAATGGCTTTTGCCTTTTCTATACTAGACAAGGAAACCTACTCTTTAATGACTGCTCGTTGTCTCTACGAGTCTGATGACACTCTAATTACATTCCTAAACTCAATTTAGGATACAGATACCACTTCAGAGTACCTCTTTAGTGCTTATTTTGGGTATGGATGGAGTATTACTGCAAGGTCTTAGAAAGCTCTCATATTAATTTCCTAGAATATAGCATCTAAATAAGAAGTTCCTTCTTGAAGCTATATTACCAACTTTGAATATTATCCATGCGAAATATGTATTCTCCATATAAAATACGTATTTTCCATATAAAATATGTATTCTCCATACAAAATATGTATTTTCCATATAAAATATGTATTCTTAAACATTTTCCTCTTAGTTTAACGTTATTTTTCTCTTTGTAGTGTTTATCATATAAGAAAATGAGAACATTACTAAAGTTAAACTCAATCTTCCTCGAGGAGTACTGTAAACACAGAGTTTGAATTTTTTAATTCTGATAAACATGATTACATAAAATAGCGACCACATTACAAAAAATGTAATTTTTTCAGAGTTTCAGTTTAATAGATTTTTCACTAATTATTTGATAATTACATTTTCGACATTTACATAACTGAGACAAAGTTATTCTTTACCTTTTTTTCCCTCAAATGAAAAATGCATCAAATTATCTTGTGAGCGGAGTAACGAACTGCCAAAGTTGAGTGGTGCGAATTTGTACCTATATACTACGTAAAGGTAGCAAAACATGTGCGCTAACGAAATGTTAATTTATAATTCACACAATTTGAAGTTGAGATTTTCTAATTAATTAATATCTTTATATCACTTACTTTGCTTGTTGACTCTTTATAATTCAGTTTCAATGGAAATCTATCTTTAACAAATTCTAGATTATTGAAATTATTATTTTTTTTATGTTTTTTGTAGATATGAATATTTAGGTAATAATGGAAGATTGGTGATTACACCATTGACCGATCGCTGCTATCTCACTCTTATTAGTGCATTGTATTTGAAATTCGGTGGTGCATTAACTGGCCCGGCAGGCACCGGCAAAACGGAAACTACAAAGGATCTCGCAAAAGTATTCGCAGTTCAGTGCGTAGTTTTCAATTGTTCTGATCAACTAAATTTTCAATCTATGGGAAAATTTTTTAAAGGACTTGCCAGGTAATTTATAAGTATTATCATATATATATATATATATATATGATATAATATATCATTAGAACTTTGTCACGTGAAAGTTACGTTAACATCATGAATCAATTAATTTTAATAGTTAGCACTTAATTAAATCCAATATTTTGTAATGTTACATAGCACCGGTGCATGGGCGTGTTTCGATGAATTCAATCGAATCGACATCAAAGTTTTATCCGTTATAGCGCAACAAATCATGACCATTCAAAAAGCACAACAAACACGAGCAAACAAGTAAGTAAATGAAATGTAAAATAGCTTAACACAATTTAGGAATGATATAATAGAACGGATTTAACAATGACTTCTTTCAGAAAAGTATTAAATTGTCATATAATTTTAGAGAATTTCCTAAGTAACACATACTGGTTTATTATGTATATTATATATATATATATATATATTATATATATATAATTATTATATAATTTTTAACGTATCTAATGTTTTATAACCATTTAGGAATATGCTACTTAAGTTGTCATTAGAATTTGAACAATTTAAATGTTATTTAATTATAAATCGTTTGATATGAAAGCAAGATAAATAATTTATGTATAACTTTAAAATTCTTCTTATAAAGGTAAATTCTTAAACTTATTAAAATTTATATTTTTCTTGTCTTTGTTCTGTCATATTCTATTATATGAGTGTATACATATGTATACATATATGTGTATATATATATGTAAACATCAAAACATATTGTTTAATTTAGCAAGTTGTCATATATACGAAATTTAATTAATTTTCTATAAATTACAAATTGAATAATTTATAATATTGTATATAGAACGTATAATAAGCCAAAAGATAACTAAATTTGTATTATAATGTATTTATAATTCAAATCTTATTATTCTACTTCAATCCTGTCATCAATACAATTAATTAAATATTTTCTTTCAGATATCACAATTCACAATTTATAATGATATTTATTTATACATATTATACATATTACTCTTGTATATTTGATAATCCAGTTGTAACATGCAAAATATTTATATGTTTCGCGGATAATGTCTGTTTCTTCATATCTAGATCCATTATTAGGATGCCAATGTTTCGTGAATACAATGTTAACGAAACGTTGGCATTCTAATAATAAATCTGGATACAGAGAGATAACCAGCAAAACGCATATATACTCTGCTTAACAAGAGATTTACCACCTTTTGCTTATAGGAAGCGGCATAACAGGCAAACTGGGAATGTCGAAATTATTTCAACCGCTCAATTTTCTAAGCTCGGATTGGAGCATGCCGTATTACGTATATGATACAGGATATTATACATCCCCAATTTTGCCGCTATAATGCCATCTTCTATGCGCGAAAGATGGTAAATCTTTTACTAAATAGAAAGTATAGTTGTACAGAAAGTATCCGTGAAATACCTTCAAAAATATTGCGCATAATATTTCTATGCAATAAAAATAATAATAATTAATATGTTAAGTAATATTAATAACGGAATTAATTTTATAGATAATAATTATTAATTTTAAAAAATATGGTTATGAAACACACACACACACACACACACACATATGTTTATACATATATTTATATATTCCACTAATATAATTTCTTTAATTTTTTTTAATTAAACAAATATATAAAATGAGGCTCGAAAGATTCTATCAGTAAAAAATATATAAAGAAAGCCTATCAAAGCCGACATCAGCCGTTCGGATGCATAGAATCTTTTTATTCTCCTGTGTGAATGTACCAAAAACGAAATAATAAACGTTTCAATCCTTTCTTTAATTAATTCCACGTACAAAAGAACAATGTTTAAAAAAGGGCGTATTTTGCTCATTAATGGAAATGTAGAGAAGATAACGGCTGCGTTCAGCAGAGAAAGCAGCTTTGCAACTGTTGTAAAATTCTTCAATATGATTGGTCTTGCCCTTAGTTCCTCATTGGATCTAAATGTATAAACCAATTATATTCAAGAATTTTACAACTGTTGCAAAGCTGCTTTTTCTACTGAACGCAGCCAATGAATCTTATAGATTTGGATCTGCTAAACACAATGATATTGCCTTTTTTAAAATATCGTTCTTTATGTGAACGCGCAGATTTCTTTTCGAAGAAGTAGAACTTACACTGAAGCAATCTTGCGCTGTATTTATCACTATGAATCCTGGTTATGCGGGTCGAACGGAATTACCTGACAACTTGAAAGCACTTTTCCGGCCGATTGCTATGATGGTGCCAAATTATGCTCTTATCGCTGAAATATCTCTATTCTCGTATGGCTTCGTGGATGCCGCAAATCTTGCCAGAAAAATTACGACGACTTTTAAGCTGACCTCAGAACAACTAAGCTCACAAGTATTTTTATTTTTATTCGCCATTTTCTTTTCCGCTTTTTTTGGAAAAGAATAATATAATACATATTTTAATAATATAAGTATTACTATATATTTCATAGAATTGTGCAAAACATAAAAAGGTACATTATAACTATTTCATTATGATGGTAGATTGTCATATATAATTAATAACTTATCAAAAATTAAATGTTAAAATAATTAATTTATATAACAAAGAAAAAATTCCTCTGTCATTTAAGATCTTTTAGATATATTACAGCTACTTCCCAATTAGTTAAGCTTTAGAATTAATTAAAGTTGCGATTTTAATTAATTGTATCTAAAATATAATATGTGATAGGAGCATTACGACTTTGGTATGCATGCGGTGAAGACTGTTATTGTGGCTACTGGCAATTTGAAAAGAGAGCAGAAAGATCTTGAAGAAGACCAAATTTGTCTGCGCGCCTTGAAAAATTTTAATGTGCCCAAATTTTTGAAGGACGACTTGAAATTGTTTAACGGTAAGTTATATGCATATAGACGTACGCTATTACATTTTCTTTTTGCCTTTTAGGTAATATATTAAATAAATTAATTTCGTTTATATATATATATATATATACCGTAATCTGTGTACATATCTATATAATATCTGTATAAAGAAGAATTAATAAGTTAACACTCATTATTTTTCTTTTTCTTTCTAGACATTATATCAGATCTCTTCCCAGAGCTAATCGAGAAACCAGTGAATTATGGAATCCTAGAAGCGGGCATCCGCAGATCTATTAGACAAATGGGTTTAGAAGATGTCGATGGTGAGTTTACTTTTCCATTTATAATATACATTTAATATACTTTTAGTATTTAAATATTACAATATTAAACCTCGATATAAAAGCAAAGTCAGAGTTTATAAATATTTTAAATATTTAATACCAAGTACAAAGAAGCTAAATAATTAAAAAATTTAATCTTGCAATTAATATTATATTTCATAGTAATAAACAATAGAAAGCATAACATATGCATAAACAAATTATTTTAAATTTATAAAAGTGTTTCAAAATATAAATATGTTTTACGTCTCTTTTAATTAAAACACAAATATGTATATACGTAAAGTATGTATTTAAATGTATAAATTAATTTGACTTTTTATTGCCTTGTTTAGCTTGCGCTTAAAAAAATCTGTAAATTTTGCTTATTAACCTACAATAGTTGTTCTCGGTTTTGCGGTTGAGGAATTATTTATCTCTTCTTTTTATATTTGCAAAAAGTTAATTAAATTGGATATTTTTCAATAAACATGCGATAAAAATATTTATTTTTATAACTTTATTAATATACGCTTTTACATAATATGTAAAATTAAAAAATGTTAATACATGGACGTTTATTATACATATATTAAAACTTGATACATAAATGTAAAATGTATTAAATATTTACACAAAAAATAATTTCTGATGTATGTGGCAGATGGCTTATAATATACAACAATTATATTATAATCGTGCAATTAACTTAAGCATAAACACAGAAACTAATTAGAGATACATATAAACCAAATATTAAATTACATCAAAAATCTCTCTCACTTCCATATTACTAAATATTTACCAGTTATAATTATCGTTACCATCCAATATCGATTGATATTGGATGATTTATTTATACGAAAACTTGTTTATCCTTTTTTTTCTTATCTATTTATATCACGCAAATAAATATTGAGATTTTATATAAATATACATATTTTTTATTAGTTTGTAATATAAACGACACAAACAAAGAAAAATTATGATTATATTGATTATATTAATTTAGTAATATAAATTGTCTAAATATGAATAATTTAGCTACTTTGCACACACAAAATAAATAGAATTAAAAAAATTTTTATAACATTATTATATTTTTCTTAATGACTGATTATATTGCATATTTATTGAATAATAAAGCAATAGCCACTATTATACATATTATACATATAACTGTTTAATAAACTTTTGTATTAATGAAAAAAATATTTTTTGTGTTAAATTCTTTTGTGCTAATAACTTAAAAAGTATCCGTATATGTATAGAGAGAAAAAGAAGAAAGCATAAATTTTTACAAAGTGAGAACCTTATTATTAATTTTTTATGATAATTATCCATTTTACATCCTATTATCGCTCAAGAAAGAGCATATTTGGGGTAATACTTCGTAAAATTATGGAAATTATAAAAATAAATGCAATGTGCACAACGTGTCTTCGCACAAAAGCATCCAATTTGAAAGCGCACGCTAAATATGACAACGCGAATTCGATCGATACTGGCATTCACAGCTTTCGTAACTTGTCTGGCCATGCTTCGCAGAATCTATTGAAGCTGTAACTCTAATTACAGACTTTGTGAGAAAGGTAGTGCAGCTGTACGAGACTACTTTGATGCGTAACGGATTAATGCTCGTGGGTTTAACCAGTTCGGGAAAGACTAAGGTAAGTGATAAGCAATTAATGAGATAAATATAGTATATTTCTGTTATCTCAATAGATATCGAGATGAAAATTTTTCCAATTTCTTGATCGAACTTATTAGTATTCCAATTTAATATTTCGATATTTCAAAAATAATTTATTTCAAGTTATAATCAGACAACATAGAAATTCGACTAGATCAAATAATTTCGCGATTTTAAAAAATTTTTCTCGGAAATTTATAAATAGCTCGAACTTTTTGAATTGTTTAAAAAGGATTTCTACACTTCAGAATAATTTAAAAGTACAAATTTTATTTTAATATTATAAGACTTAAAGTTTGCAAGTAGTATAATTCTCTACTACAAGCTATTTGCATTAAATATTTCAAATTACATTTTTGCTTTGTTATTAATTATAATTGTCTTGCTTATTAATAATTATAATTTCGCCTTTTTAATCATTTATTTTAAAATATGTTAATGTATGTAGTCATTACGTTATAAAAATTATGTTAAATACAGAAACATGATAATGCTTATTTTTATTCAATACTCTAATCATAAAGAATTTGATTACATTACGCAAAATCTTAGAGAATGTTATTAATGGCGATTGATGTACACCAGCCATACTATAATATCCCTTTTAGATTAATATGTTTACCGACATCATGTATCCCTATATATTTCCTCTGGATACAGAATATACTTAAAATATTGGGGGGTCTGAAGAAACATCTACGTACGTCCTTTAACTATAATAAAAAAATATACAGCGCTCATTACACATGAATAAACTATAAAAATTTCTTTTAAATTGAAAAATTTTGGAAATGAACCGTACATATGGTGTCTCACAACTTATACTGTACAGTATTCTAATAGCATATTCTGAAAGTAAGATAAAAAATTCTAATACAGAAATATCGAAGCCATAATTAATTTTTTTAATTATAACCAATCAAAAATAAGCAGTAACATTGCTTAGAATTCGCTCGATGAAGTCTGTAGTTACACAAACACGAGCATCGATCTGTCATCTCTTTACAAAGTGTGTAATTATGACGCTGCTTCGTACGAATTCTCTGTACGTATTATTACCTTTGAAAATTATCTTTGACTTATTATAATTCAAAAACTATTCTGACATTTCATATTAGAATTTCTCTTACTCTACTTTACTTCCAGAATAAACTATTATAATACTATGTGGTAGTTATGAGACATTCTGTAAAACACAAGTAGCTTATCTTCTCAAAGAAAATACGGCGAGACAAATTTTAAATATTTGGAATAGGAAGCACAAATAACAATATTATTTTCTCTAAATCTTTTCGAAAAACAACATTAATTTATTTACACAATATATAAATAAACAATATATCATTTAAAGAATAATATCCATAAATATATATATATATATTATATTATATATAAAATATATATAATATATGTACATAAATGCTATATAGTCGATATAAGACTCATTTAAATTTGTCATATTCGTTTCAATCAGGTATAAACAAACCACATGTAAACAAGTTCTGAAATACAAAAGTTATTTTCTAAAACTTTTAGAATAAATCTAACTTTAAAGAGTGAAATATCACTCTTAAAGATTGAAAACTAAGCCACTCTTTTATAAGATTGGCTCAATTTTCATTGTTTAGGGTGAGATTCCACTCCAAAGAATGTAGAAAGTAATTTTACAAGATTTCAAAAGGTCAGCATAATATCATAGATTGACATAGATCGATTAGATTAGACTTACCGTATAGAAATACGGAAATAATAATTAATAAATATTATTATGTAACGTTCTTCAATTTTTTAAAAAATTTAATTAAAATGATATGCTCTTAAATGAATAATTATATCTATTAACATATGGTAATAAAACGTATAGTCATCGTGAAATTTTGTTTGTTTTAGCTGATAGTCTTTACAGATAAATATATCTGCACGCAACACACACATATACATGTATATTTTTAATACGTATTTTTTCCTTAAACATATACAATATGCTATATACAGGAATGCATAACACGTTAACCACATGTATGGTATATATGTATATGTATATATATATATATGTTGTACTTCATGAATTTTCACTTATCTTAAAAACTCTATTCTTATTTTTAAAATACATATGCTCTATGAGTAACAAATATGAAACAGGAGCACGGCCAATATACTTTTATAAAAAAGATACAGAGATTTATAGAATATCTGTTTATATATTTACACGTTACATATCCCATTATAAATTAATCAATATATGTAATTGTTGCTGATATATAGGATATTGATATACATTAGGATTGTTTACTGATATACAGAATATTGATATATTATATGTAGAATTAGCGTGTGTGTTTATGACAATTGGTGACTTTTAAAGTCATTTTTCTTATAGCGATGATGTAATGTCATATAGAATTAATTTACATATTTTAATTTTTTAATTCTCTGTCGAAACTTTACTGTTTTAACATGTTACGCAATACACATGCACGTAATCAAATTTTTTTTATAGATTAGATATCGTAACATAATAATATTGATTAACAACTTTATGACATGTACGATACATGAATTAGGCTATATGATTTATACATAAAAAATAGAACACATGAAACATTTAACGTAGAAAGTTTTTAATGAAATAGCATTTTATGATTCCAAATTTACGAATTTACAAATTACGTGTACATGTAAGGGAAAGTTTATATAATATTCATGCCATTCTACTACATTTTTCAAGAAACGACACGTGTACGGGTTTATTTGTGTAAAAAGAGCGTACAAAGTAATGCCAGACACGTGGTATTTGTATTGACGCCAACCATTAAAAGGTATAACTGGAAAAGCTTCCACGATAAGGCTTTAACTCAAAGGCAATTGAATAGCAATAAAAAATGCATTACTTAAAAAAAAAATGAAATTTCGTATTTATGTATTATTAATTTGAATAAGCACACAACACATTTACAATACTTTTTATAGTTTTTATATCGATCCCTACCTATTCAAGGATCGTTAAACTTGTATCTTTGTTTGAATACCTCTGTTTCAGTTTTTCTATAAATGTATACATTATATATATATATATATATATAATGTATACATTTATAATTAAAATATGTAAGTACTATATATAATGTTTAAATACCTTTCGTTTCTCAGTTTCCTTTTGTACACATAGTAAAAAATAACAAAACTGCATTTTATAAACAATTGTCATATAAATTCAGACGTTTTAGTAAGAAGTTTATGAAAATACTTAGAAACGGATTATTGATTAACATTCCTGTATTGATATCAAGTAAGCGATTATTTGATATAAACAAATTGACTTTGTTATGTAAAATGAATAATTTTATGTTTTACGCGTAATGATCATGTACATGTATTACGTGTAAAACTACAAGGTTTCTAACGCTACTCTTTTTATTAATATTCCGTTGAGGTACAAATCCGTAAAAGAGAATTCACGAAAAACAGGTTTATTCGAGATTTTAAGTGGAATTGCATCCCAAAAGAATATTCTCTTCCATGTGTTACGGATGAAATACTGAAAAATTTTTTCCCAGTGATTTCCCCAGGCGAGCTGGTCAATCGATCTCTGTCCTAATTGTACAAAAAAGAAAATCAACGTAAAAGAGACGTGGCGAGTTCTTTTGCGTTTGAGTATACCAATAACACGTATGCAACTATATTTGATGGTTTTCCATTAAGAAAAAAATAGCGTTCCTGGCAGCGTATTTAATAATTTATTTTTATTGTTTCTTTAAGTTTTAATTAAGCTTTATTCTTATAGTGAATAATTAGTTTAATGTAATAAATTTTAACATCGTGCAGCTTATTTTCTATAAAATGTTAGGAAAAAATATCAAAGTTCTTTTCAATTTTACTACAATAATTGATTTTTATAATAGCTTTTGGAAAATATCGAGACTATTTTAAACTTTTACTTTATAACTATCTGAAATAAATTTTGGATTCTGTTAATTATTAGAAGAAAGGCCCCTATTATGAGATACCGAGTTCATTTTGGGTAAATGCTAGAAGTCTATGGACAGAATTTAAAAAAATAATAGGTCATTTTGAAGGGAATTTAATAAGCTTTAAGACTCTTGATTAATCATGGCGGCGGCCATGTTGGAATCGTGACGTCAGAAGCGAGGAATGATACGTAAATTTACGCACAATGCCATTTGTAAACAAAGATAATTGGGATAAAACGAAATGACGGGATCGCTTTAAAACATTTGTAAAAATCGATGACAACTGTCCTTTCCTCCCTTGATAGTCAGTAAATGGTCGTAAAAAACTCGTAAAGTGAGCCTATATTCTGACAGAAACACACGGTTTCACAACTGTTGAAACGAGTTAAATATACACTTTTACGTATAAAATTCCAAGATAACTTTAGTTGTCATCGAAAATTACGACTTTGAGAAGTACGAAATAAGTCACATTTTCACAATTAAGCAAATAATAATGAAATGGCATTATGCACAAATTTCGTCGTCAAAACTGGTCAAAACTGGTCGCTTTTCCACGCCTATGGGTGCGTTCAAGGAGCTCACTACCAGTGCTTTGCAGCGCTACCACTGTTCAGGGAGCTAACTGATAGCACTACGAAACACTATCATGACGTTATTGTTGGTAGCGTTTGACGTCATGACTCGCGTTACAAATGCTATCGCCAAAGAGGTAGGCTGCTTTCCATTTGATGACACAAATCGACACAAGTCGACACAAATGTTGTTCTATCCTTCTTGATATTCAGAGAGTGACGAAGATAGAACGACACTTGTGTCGATTTGTGTCGACTGTGTCTCCTAAAAGGAAAGCAGCCGTAGTGTGTTGATAGCGTGGCGTTCGTGTGCTCCATGAACAGCGATAGTGTAGTAAATACTAAAGTGAACATTGTTGGCTGATACTTCAAAATGAATGATCGCAATAGTATTCATTATACTTAGCTTTTAAAATGGATTACGTGGAAAT